GGATGACGGCGCGCGGCCGGGCGGCGGGACGCGGGCAGTGCCCGTGGGGGGGGCGGCGAGTGCCGTCGGACCGCGGTGGCGGTGCCGCACCCGGCCCTGTTCCTGGGCCGTCGCCCCGCGTGACGCGCGCTCCCGCCGCCGCCGCCCGTGGCGGGGCCGCGCGCGGGGCGGGGGCGGCGGCGGCACCGGGAGGGGACGGGGACAGGGACGGGACAGGGACAGGGACGGGTGCGGCACCGCCACCGCGGTCCGACGGCACTCGCCGCCCCCGCCACGGGCACTGCCCGCGTCCCGCCGCCCGGCCGCGCGCCGTCATCCCGGTGCGGCATCGCTGAGCCCCCCGCCCACCGGGGAGGCCTCGGCGGGAGCAGCACCGGGAGCGGTACTGGGAGCAGGCGCTGCCGCGGTTCCCCGAGGACCGGGACGGGGCCGGTGCCATGAAGGAGGACCGTCAGCATCCCATCGACCTGGGTGAGGCGCCGGGGCCATCCCGGCACCGGTCCCGGTGCTGCCGGTCGTGGCCTGGCCGTGAGCGCGGAGATCACCGGGGTGGCTCCACGGGCAGCTGTGGTGGGGGATGTGAACACCGGCCTGTTGTGACCAATGGCATCTCCGGTGGGGTCTGCGGTGGCATCACCGGCCGTCCCTCCTCTTGTCTCCGTGATAGGTTACGCCGTCACCAAACCCGACATCCTGGCCGAGGTGGAGCGAGGGGACGAGGTGGTGGAGGTGGCCGTGGGGCACTGCGGGGAGCACCAGAGCCCCCGGCCACGTGCGGCGCCCGCCGGCCCCTCCCAGGGTGAGCGGGACATGGGGACAGGTGGGACTGGGAACGGGGATCGGGTGATGGGTCGGATCCTGCCAAGCCCCGGCATTCCCGGTGAGGAGGGCACTCCCCAACTCACTCCTGTCTCCTCAGGGGACTGGCTGGGGAAGGAGGTGAAGATCGAGGAGGGGGTGTCCCCATCCCCCTGCTCCCCCCCGGCCCACCACTCGGGCCCCGCCGAATTCCTCACATCGGTGCAGGAGCGGGGCTGCAGCTACTGCGGCATCACCGAGCCGGAGCCGAATCCCGCTGCGGGTACTGGGGGGTTCATCACCTCCCTCCCCGCCTTTGAGAGCCGCCGCTGCCGGGCGGGGGAGCCACCGCTGGAGTGCCCCGAGTGCGGCCGAGGCGTCGGGCAGAAGCCGGACCTGGTGCGGCACCGGCTGGCACGCGGTGTGGAACGTGGCTATGGCTGCGGCCACTGCGGGAGGGGCCTCGCCGAGCCGGCGGGGCTGCGGATCACAGGCAGCACCCACCGCCCCGGCCCCTGTGCCGGCCGCGCCCCGGGCACGGCCGAGGGGACCACGGCGGCGCCGCGCAAGGAGCGCAAGGAGCTGTCGCTGACGGAGAAGGTGCGGGTGCTGGAGATGCTGGAGGGACCCAAGGTGTCGCAGAGCGAGCTGGCCAAGCGCTTCGGGGTGTCGCAGCCCCAGATCTGCCGCATCATCAAGAACAAGGAGCGCATCCTGAGCGAGTGGCAGCGCAGCGGAGACCCCGAGCGCAAGCGCAAGCGGGAGGGCAAGGACGCGGCGCTCGAGGCCGCGCTGCTGCGCTGGGTGGAGGGCGCCCGCGCCGCCGACCTGCCCGTGGGCCGCCCGCTGCTCCAGCTCAGGGCCAAGCACCTGGCAGGGGCGCTGGGCCGGCCCGGCCCCGAGCCTGGCGGCGGGTGGCTGGCGCGCGTCGCGGCCTTCAAGAAGCCGCCGGCAGAGAAAGGGGACGCGGAGCAGCCGCCGGCGGAGCACTGGGCCGGCGCGGTGCTGCCCGCGCTCCTCCGCGGCTACGCGCCCTCCGAGATCTTCTCCTGCGGGGAGGCCGCGGTGCCGCTCCCGGCCGGCTGCCCCGGCGAGCGGCTCACGCTGCTGCTCTGCGCCAACGCCAGCGGCTCCGAGAAGGTGCCGCTGCGGGCGCTGGGGGAGAGCCCCCGGCCGCGCTGCCTGCGCGGCGTCAACCTGGAGCAGATGCCGTGGAGTTACCGCGCCGGCAGCCTGGGCGGCCTGACCGCACCGCTCTTCGCCGAGTGGCTGCGGGAGTTCAACGAGGGGATGCGGCGGCAGGGGAAGAGCATCCTCCTGCTCCTCGCCAAGCACGAGGCACACCCCTACCTCCAGCTGTCCAACGTCAGGATGGTCTTCGTCCCTCCGGCCGCCGCCCTGGCACAGCCCCTGGACCGGGGCATCGCCGGCGACCTCAAAGGCCACTACCGGCGCCGGCTGCTGCGGTGGCTGCCGGCGGAGCGCGGCGCGGGGCAGCCCACCCTGCTGGATGTGCTGCACATGCTGGCGCAGGCCTGGGGCGACGTGTCCCCGGGGCTCATTGCCAGCTGCTTCCGTGCCGCCGGCTTCGTCCCCGACACCGGCGCCGAGGCCGCGTCCCTCAGCCTGGCACACGGGCTGCTCGGCCGGGAGCAGCTGGAGCGCGGCGGGGAGCCGGCGGAGGCGGACGGGGACGAGGGGATGGTGGAGGGCGAGGACGCGGCAGAGCTGGCGGCTGTGCCGCCCTGCCCCTCGGAGCGGGAGGTCTGGAGGAGCCTGGCCACGCTGCGGCGGTACCTGGAGTGCCAGGCCACCTCGCCAGACCTCTTCCAGGCCTTCTACGAGCTGGAGGACGCGGTGCACATGGTGTCATCCGGCGCCGGGAGAGCCCTCCATGGGGACACCCCTCCCAAGCAGTGAGGGGGCGGCCAGCACGTGCCCAGACCCGCTCATGCCCGGTGCTCACCGGGGCCGTCACCGGCCCGGCCTGGCCACCATCCCCTGCAGTTGTGCCGTGGGGTTTGCTGTGGATCTGTGTGGCCCCGTGGGGTCACCGTGCACAGGGGCTGCGGAGCCGCCGCGCTCTGGGTGTCACCCGTGGGGCAGTGCCAGGGGCACAAACCTGCTTCCAGAACCTTCTCCAGAGGGGTGGCTGCTGCAGCCAAAGGGAGCCGGCATGGAGCTGCTGCCGGCGGGGATTTGCCTTGAGTGGGGTAGTTGTGTTTGCCGTGGGGGGCTGTGGGTGGTGCTGGGGTGTCCCCGTGCCAGGGACAATGGCTCTTTCCCAGGGGAGACCGGGTGCCACCGGCTGCTGTCACCACGTGGTGCCTGGAGGTTTGTAACAGGCATTAAAAGGTTGGAATTCAGCTGGTGCACGGCTGGTGGGTGTTGTGTTTTACCGTCACATCTGCTGGGAGCAGCGGGACCACCCCAAACTCAACCCCAAACCTCCCCTTCTCCCCCCCTGCCCTGGGGACACCGCGGCTGCTCCTGGGCCCCCACAGCACCCCAACCTGTGCCATCCCCACCCAGGTACCAGGCAAGCAGCACCCGGGGAGGGAGGATGCATTTGTGGGGTGCAGCAGTGGGATCCCCGTGGGGATGCACAGTCACAGGTGGGAAAGTGTGGGGATGCGGGGACAGGGGTGCACGGGGGGGATCCCCACGAGGATACACAATCACAGGTGGGCAAGCAGGACCCGGAGGGGGGGAATACAGTTATGGGGTGCATTGGGGGATCCCCACGGGCATACAGCATCACGGGAGTAAACTTAGCACCCAGGAGAGGGTGAGGGGGATGCAGGGACAGGGCGAAATGGGGGGTGACCTCCACAGGGATACACCACCACAGGTGTACCCGCAGCCCCCTGGGGGGGGGTGAGACTCAGGGATGGACCATCCCGGGGGGATTCCCACGGGAATACACCACCACGGGGGTACACGAAGCATCCAGGAGAGGGTAAGGGGGATGCAGGGACGGGGTGCACGGGGGATCCCCACGGGGATACGCAGCGCCCTCGGGGGTGGGACGCGGCGACAGGAGTGCCCGGGAGGATCCCCACGGAGGTACCCGCAGCCCCGTCGGGGGTGGGATGCAGGGATGCTCCATCCCGGCGGGATCCCCACGAGGCTACACCCGCGCGGCGGTACCCGCGGCCCCCTCGGCGGCGGGATGCAGGGATGCCCCATCCCCGGGGGGATGTCCCCTGTCCCCCCCCCCGCCGTCCCCGCCCCCCGTCCCTCCACGGCGGGACCACCAGGGGGGGCCCACGGGCGGCTCGGTCGCGCAGGGCCCGCGCCGGCGCTCGGAGGAAATGAAGGCGAGTTCCGCCGAGGCGGGAGCCATTACCCGCCGCCGGACCTGAGCCCCCCCTCCCGCCGCCGCCGGGGCCCCGCCGCTTTGTCCCCGGGAAGAGCAGCGCGAACAAAGCCGGGGGGGTGCCGCTCGCAGCCCCCCCCCGCTCCCTCCCCCGGGGCGCCCCGAGGCCGCGGGGGTGGGCGCTGCCCTGGGGTCGGGGGGCTCGGGGGGCTCGGAGGGGGCTGGGGGCTCGGTAGGGACGGCAGGGGCACGTCGGGGATGGGGGGTTTGCAGGGGGTCGGCGCTGTGCTCCTGGGGTTCGGTGGGGGGCGGTGGGAGGTCGGGGTGGGTGCCGTGGTGGAGGGCTTTGCTGCGGTCCCGAGGTCCTCGCTGGGAGCTGGAGGGGTGCGTACCTGGCTCAGGTGTGCACCGTGACCCCTGGCCCAGGTGTGCATCGTAGCCAAGGTCTTTATCGTGGCCTTGCAGCACTTACCATGGCCAAGGTGGTCCCAGGTTCCTCATGGGGAGCTTGGGGTCTTCACCATGGCTGAGGTCTCCACCGTGGCCAAGGTCTTTGCCATGGTCCCAGGGTGCTCACTGGGAGCTCCAGATGTGCACCATGGCTCAGGTTTTCACCATGGCCAAGGTCTTTGCCACGGCCCCAGGGTCCTCATGGGGGACTCGAGGTGTTCACTGTGGCCAAGGCCCTCAGCATGGCCCAGGCCTTTGCCACATCCCCAAGATCCTTGTGGGGATCTTCAGGTGTTCACCATGGCCAATGCCTTCTCCACAGTCTGTGTCATGGCCTTGCAACACTTGCCGTGGCCTTGATCACTGCCATGGTGCCAAGATCCTCACTGGGAGCTTGAGGTGCTCACCATGGCCAAGACCTTCTGTAATGCCTGTGCTGTGGCCTTGAGGCTCTCACCGTGGCTCTGGGCTTCACCATGACCCCAGGGTCCTCACCGGGAACCTGAGGTGCTCACTGCGCTCTTGAGGTTCTCACCATGGCCAAGACCCTTGCCAAGGCCAGCCTTGACTGAGGTCTTCACCATGGCCTTGAGGTGTTCACTGTGACTGAGGTCTTCACCATGGCCTTGAGGTGTTCACCTTTGCATGACCCAGTGACCTGTCCTTAAGGTCACGGTCAGTGCCATGGCCCCGAGGCCCTTGCTGGGAACCTCAACTGCTCATCACGTCCAAGGCTTTCCCTGTCATGGCCAACATTGCCAT